TTTCTTTGAAGCTGTATAGACTTTTATTGGTTTTCGGCTTTCAGACTCAAAAAAGTGATGAATAGCGGAAGAACCTTCCAGGTATGCTTTTTTTGGTTGTGTTCATGGTGAAGCTTTTTGGAAGAAAGCTTAGTGCGATTTTGGGGGGAGAGGAAGGGCGGGATTTTTGCCCAAGACGGTAGAATTTTTTATTTTTTTATGTACTAAATACAATTGAATTATTATTATAATGATTAAATATTTAATTTTAATATATATTGGTATTTTATTATAAAATACCAATATAATTATATTAAATTTGGATTTTTATTATAGCTTATATATGCAAAATATTAGTAAATATATAAAAAATATTAAATAAGTTATTAAATTTATTTTTATATTTGTAAAAGATTATTGATAATATATATATAAAAATGTATAAAAATGTAAATTCACGTGATTTTGAGGGTGCACTGGTAAAATTGCCATTACAGAAGATGGTTTTTTTGGCGGTTCGCCATTACACTCATGAACCTGGGAGGGCATCGCAAAGTGACATTATTCGACATCACTTATGAGCAGATCCAAACAGGCTTTCATGATCAATGGTGGACCTCATCCGCAAGAAGTCAGCACGTGATAAAAGTCATATTCGCAATTACCTGGGAGTGTAAAAGGCGCTCCCACTCAGCAGCGGTGTTCAACCGATCACCGCTGCCTTTTGTTTATGGAAAGGTAGCACACACCATACGTTCGACACTACAAACGCGAGTTAGAGATGATTCTCGCACTCAGCCCAGTGCACTTTGGAACTTCCCCGGCTCACCAGCCGCTGCCACGGATACAGGAAGCATTACAATCCCTTTCCCATTTATATCAACATAAATTGAGTTCAAGAAAAGGATATAGTTAATGCCTCTAAATAGGACCTGTAAGTATGCCATAACCATAACGGTTTGGCATGTCTTCAACCATTTATCGCGTCAATAAATACCAGTTTTCATCTTTAGACTACCAAAAAAAAAAGTCTCACGGCTACAGAAATCTTGCCGTTAATGCTACAACAATATCTATCCTGCCCTGCCTGAATGTTCGAAACATTCGGCAGGCAAGCCACTAGCGACCTGTGTCCCATGTACGAAGGAATAAAGGATGATCAGACCATATGGCATGCGCCTGTCAAGTCGAACAATGCGCTGTGGCGTTTTACTGTCGGATCTGAATACAAAAGAAAAGTTTTGCAGTCGTATTGATGTACCTAGAAGGCTACAGCAGGGTCAGACCACCCGATATAAACTTTGAGCCAGTCCAAACAGGCTTCCACGCCCTGGTGGCGGACCCTTCAGCATAAGATACCAACCAAAGAACGATTACACACCATTTTTCCCGGCGAACATAGCACAACGTGCACAATATGTCAAAAGGAAAATGAGTCTGACAAGCACTTCTGGACAGATTGTGAAAAAAAATGGAAATTTTGGTTGAGAATGATGAATTTCAAGAAAATGCCGCCTGAAATACGGTCGAAAAACAAAATTTGGAGTTTGATTTGCTTACAACAGATTAAGCTGCAAGATGAACAGATTTTGAAGGAAATGGGACGAGTCATGCTTGCCATTTGGATAACTCACTGGAATTGCATAAAACAACAGAGAGAATGGTCGGACCAAGCTGCCTTCAACATATACGAATCAATCATCCTGCCCACTAATGACCGCTTCCTTCAACCGAAGGAAAAGAAGGCATGCAATGCATGGATACTTATATTACGAAGCGTAACAAGTCGAGGCAAAATTGAAGTTGACGTATGGAAACATCTGCAGATGTTTCCAAAGTCAGTACAAGGAAGGATTCCCTGATGAACGTCCAAGTACAGACTTAGAACTGATGTTTCCCTTCCACATCATTTTTGACCCAAAACAGACGCAAATGAAAGCTTTGGATTGGCTACTACTAGCTCCATGGCGAGACCTAAAATTCTTGGAACTTCAAAATCGACGACTCGATATCTCCAAGA